GTTCCTTACTTTGTGCTTATTGTAAAAAGGAGATTGAATTTCAATAGAATTATTTTTGTTCAAGATAAATCAAAGAAAAGGCGATAATATTCAAAACAACCCACCGATTGGAAAGGTAACTGTTTAAACATACGGACAGGAAATATGTATATTTCAATGTCTATCACGTGATTATTTTATATGATGCTAAAACTAAGTGCTGCATAAATTTACTGGCAACTGATCGAGCTAAAATAATATATGACTAGATTTTATTTACAATTTATTTTTCGGTATTTCCAGATTTCACGTAACATATTCTGCTGTAATAAAATCCAGCATCAGATGAAGATATGTAATATAGGTTATGCTAACAAATTATGTTAGTAACCGTCAGAGACACATAGTTTGCCATACATATTATGATTAACTACAACGCTTGTTTTTAACCCCGAAGGGTTAACGTAAAAAGCAATCTGTTTTTGAAGTTTCGCTTATAGTAATCCCTATGTAACCTCTAATAATATTCCATAACGTTCTATTAACTTTATAACTTAGTTATTTGTGAATTGACAAATTACAAATTAAGATCATTTGCAATTTCGTAAGTTATAGAAATCTATTTATACAATTTTTACAATTTGGGAGAGTTAAGATGTTTACTTTAATTATAATTAGTTATTTTATTATTTGCTTATTTCGTTACTAAACTTGTTATGTAAGAAAACTTATTAATTCTGATGAACTTATATCTTATAACTTGTAAAATTTCATTAATATTATTTCAGTTATGTAAGAGGACCTTAGTGTAACATTTTCTGGCATATATTCGCCCATACTTCTGTTCTTCGTGTCATTAACCGGCAGAATAAAGAACCTGCCGCGACAAAGACGAGACATCGTAAGAATAAACGAATAAACGGGTCATAGAGCACAGAAATTAAAGATTGGAAGCGAGTTTTCAATAGGACGTCGGTAAATGTAGGTCCCAGTGAAATAGCACTTTCATAGAATATAAGGAACACAGATAAGGCACGTAAGCCAATACGAAGTAAGAAGGAAAAGACGGTGAAGTTCCACTTAGAGCCTCGTCAATGACACAATAGTGAGACCTGATTTAAGAAACTTAATTTTACGTTAACAATCGATCATCAACTGAGCCGTATGAGCCGGGTCGGCTGGTATTAAATTTCGGATATATCAGCTAGACGGAAGCCGTTCGAACGTAGACGACTCAGGCTACACAGGGGATGCATGTTACAGGAAATTGGTCGACCGGCTAAAAGAGCATACGCGAGTGACTCAATTTTCTAACACGATCATTTACCAACTGAAAAGTTTGCAACAACAAAGAGGTAACCTTAAACTGTATTCGTTAGAAGAGCGACAAATATATACAGTGGTTCGGAAATATATCCGAATACTTGAAAAAATCTTTGTTGTAAGTATATGTAATATGTGTGTTGCACACAACATTTTCATGATTATATTGGTACAGTTTAAAAGAAATTAAAAAATGTACGTATTTAGCGCAATGTTGATTTACTGAAATTACTAAAAAATGGAGCTGCTTCCTTATTGTAGTAGCTCCTTCAATTACAGCGGGTCACCAGCCATGCGGTGCATTTAACACAATAGAATACAATTTAATACAATTTTCATTTCCCCAAATATTTCCATTTGCAATACAGGATGATATGACCCGAACGAGGAAAATTCCAGGGATGTACAAAACAGTGCATAATGCAGGATTTAAGCTGGTAATCGATGATTAACGTGTTGCGTGGATTACACTCGCTCACATGTAAGCACATAAAATCATTATCGTATTAAACAATGGAGCTCAAAGATCTCTGTCGATAAAGTAAATCTCGATGAAATTTCATTCCATCAAATATGTACTAATTTACGTCCAACAAATATGACGTTGTTTAGCGAACTCTGTCAACCACATCAACTTTAGCTATAAAATATAACTCGAAAATATATATATTATAATACTGTGTGAAATTAATTTCATTTGAACGTTAACAATTTCAAAATTGCATTATACTAATTCAAGTAGAAATTGCGCAATCGAACAAGAACTATTCATACAATTAATTGCATATACTGAATTCGACGATAAATTATCTCCCTTATTTTAAGAAAAATTCTTATCGATTAAATTTTTACAACACGAATATACGATTATAAGTTCTTCAAATTTTCGCGCTAAAACGCTTCCAAATGAAACTGCTCTCACAATTGTTCGTATTATTTACGAGGAACTTTTGTTTGCCCCCAATTGAAAGATTCGGCAAAAATACGCGAAATCACCGAACATTCTCGATTCATACGAAGCACAATTACTTCCGGAAATCTGCCCCTATCTATTCTGGTATTTATGTCTTTGTTCCATACAAACGTATACGTGCGATCCTGCGCGAGCACACATGATAAATATTTGTAGAAATAACAAAATATATATCTCAACGCGTATATCCCAATGGACCGGAGGGCTTCGTGTTGCGTCCCAACTTTTTCATATAATGGCACACGATGATCCGATTTTGCGATTGGATCATACAGGATTTGTCTTTTCAGCTATTTACGAAAAGCTTTCAACACAAAACTTTTAGAGTTCACACATAGGTTTAAACAATGTGTATTCTGTTTCGACTCATGCAACAGATACATGAAGATTATATATTTCATGAGAGATTGTACATGCGGCTGATCAGAAATTATATATCTATCGATGATGCTGTACTTACAAATACGATTTGTATAAATATTTCGGAAGAAAAAGTTTAAGTTGATACTAATACTCAGTAAAAAATATATTGATTAATTATTAAATGTAATTACGCTATTTAGTTACTTTTCTTGGTTTTGACTATTTGACTCGAACTTTGACTTTTCTTTTGAAGCTTTATTTTATCATTATTGAGATATGTATAATTTTGTGTGCTAGACTAGATTATCCGCGTAGTAGTGACACACGTATGTGAATATGAGTGTATGGAAGTATGTGTGTGCACAGCGTCTCGAAAAACAGATGAATGCAACTGTTCCGTTAGTGGTGTGGTATAGATGGTGAGGCAAAGAGAGTGCTGAGACGCGTGCAAATGTATATCGACGAAGATCCTGCAAATCATTTATTAAATAAATCTAAAACTGTTTTAATATAAATTCTCAGTGTAATCTTAACGTTCCTTTACTTTTATTTCGGCGATTAAGATTCACAATTCTCAACAATCATTAAAAGAAATTCGGGGAGCCGAAAAATTTATCAAAGAGGTTAGGTTAGATTCTGTTACATTTGAATCAGATTCGAGTTAGATTTCATTAAATTTATTTAAATATGTTTGAATAAACGAAAATATCATTCCACCAAAAAGACATCAAATGTATAATTTGTAATCTTTTTAAAATCGGGAACAGTTACATTATTAATCATTATAATTATTAAGCGTAATGTTGCATTATTGTATTATTAATAAGATTAAAATAATTTAATTCTGGCTTAGTATTATAGGTGAGTTACGACTGGAAGTTATATTTCGCAAGATATGTATCCTGAAATCTCGAGGTCTCGATTTGAAACATGGTTCGAGAGTAGTCGGATATCGGAATTCGATGGAATTTTGTTTCGCGAAACAGTCTTACAATTAGCGTAAAGCAGCGATATACCAAATGGCGCTCCGCGCTACATTCTTAATCACGTGACTCATACAGAACCAATGCCATTACTTACTACGGGAAAGAATTGCTTGACGTCAGTTTCGGTATAGTATGCGATTTGTTCAACTTTTACAATTACTCTCCATGATTGTTCGTGACTTAAACCAAAATAAAACGAAAACCTCGAAATTCGTCTGCATAGACTGGGAATTCGTCGAGGCGTGAAAAACTTAATTAAAATTTACTACGGTCAAAAGTAGAATTAAATGAATTAATCGAAGCTTCAGCTTTCCTCATTCCTTTATTTGGAAACGAAAACGTAGGGGAAAACCAGTAAAACTTTCCCGTAGAAGCTAAAATCTACATTTAACCGTCTCTCTTGTTTATGCGGCATTGTTACGTTAATTCATTTGGTCTTCTACAAATTTCATTCGTAAATTAAAGTCGAAAGATTCATGTACATGAAAAACAGCTTCAAAAATATATATATGTCGGAGATGTAGGGATATTGGGTCTTTCTTTTGGAATTTTGGGAAGATCCCCAATACTTTGATCTAAACTATTTATTATAGCTGTACTTAAATAATAGAACTTAGAGGTAGTTGTTGTGATACGATCTGGTTATGTTTGCCCGAGATTTGTGATAGTGGGCTTGGGTTCGAGGTGACACAGTTGGTCGCCGAACGTAGCCACGGTCACGGGATGAACGTTTTTACTTAACAGTAGAAGTACCAATATTGAGGGACACACGCTGTATTACCAACAAGTCCCGGGCAGGAGCAATGACGGCTGTACGCGGGTCAGCCTAGTAACGGCGCCTGGAATTTTATTGATATCCCCGGTCAATATGCAAATGACAAATGTGATCGTATCAGTCTTTTATTCTTGTGATCACCTTGGAGAGTTTACACGCATCGTCTTGTCTGTCAGTCAGAAAGATACCGTGCGTCACAGCTAACGGCACTTTGTGTTTCAAAACATATTCAATTGTACAAAGAGTTTTCCCGTTGACCGTGGATTCGTTATTGAACCTAAGAACATTGTCTTTACATTAAGAGTGTCTAATTACCACGATTAATTGTTAAACCCTGTTAAATCAGTATTTGTACATATAATTGTAAATATAATCTCCATTGAACAACTACGATGGCTTGTCCTAATGAGGATACGCAACGCGCCCCTAAGACTAACGCCAACCCGACATATATATACGCGATTTAATGCTTTTTGACTACAAAAAATCGTCCGAGAACAGTCGTTCATATTGAAACGTCGATTTATTTTTTTGAAGTATGAAAAAAAAATGCACGTCGCCCTTTGAAAATCGGCGTTTCGCTTGAAACGGTAACACGACTTACCGGCTGTGATTTAGCGGCTAGTTGGTTTCGTTTGGCAAATACACGCGGCGTTCGTTAGTTTGCGCATCTACGTTTCTCTCACCCTCTATCGGTCTGTGTTTCTCATTGTTCTGAACCTGTGTTGATCAGTTCACATAGCATAACCGAGGCTTGTCGATGCGAACACAGAATTTTATAGAACGAACGCTTTCGAGAGATCGGATTTTATCCTCGATCAATAAAAAGTCGATATATGTATGTGATAATAACGTACGGTTAATAATTGGATCTATGGTTGAACCATCAAAAAGATGGTGTAATCACGTTTCTTGTTTGGAGAAATATGATATGATTAAGGTCTCGAAATAATTTCGTAATTAAATATCCAAGAATTAACATTGTTTGAATCGAACATTTCTTTTTTGGTGAATTTACATTATTGAATTTTGCTTTTTTAGGTTATGTATGCCGCTGAAATGTATTCTTCACTGTAAGGATCAACAATTATATATATATTTTATTATATTAGTAATAGGAACAATGGAAAAGAGTAACATTTTTTAAAGATTAATTAATAGTAGAGATTAAGTCTGTTCGAATTTTATATACTGAATTGAATACATTGAATTTAGTGTGTCATGGAATAGATATTCGTTCGAGCAAAGAAAAACCACCCGGAAATGTAACAAACCGTCTAATGCGTGTAGCCATATATGACAGCTTTTACACCGTACAAACCGGCTGTTTAGTGTGTCGCGCATGTTTCTCGAATAAAAACGGCGATGAAAACCGCATCCTGGAAGAACGTCCTTTGGAATTGCTGTGGAACAAAAGCACGCTTTACACATGCTCGTAAAAATGCAGACACGTAGATCGTTTAAACCGTACGAACGCACAATTGCTTATCCACGGAGGTTCGCAAGATACTCTTGGGTCGATCGTCGATAAAACCTCAATTTCTCATAGGAAGACTAATTTCAGTTCGCATGAAAAACTACCCCGACAGTTCGGTTCCACGAAAATACATGAGAAGTTCCAATAAAAAAAGAGCGAGCGAGTGAGAGAGAGAGAGAGAGAGAGAGAGAGAGAGAGAAACGACCACACGCGAACCGGTGGTAGCAGATGCACGAGAAGATGGATTCCCGTTAAAAACGGCCGATATCGTCAAAAATAATGGCGTGGAAGGAACGCATTTTGGCACGACGGACACACTAGATACCGTGGAATGGATTCGAGCCAGAGAGAATGATAACACTTAAACAAATTTTGCCTGCCTTATCTTGTCGTATATTATTCGAGGTCCAAAACATGGGGATTATACCGGACCCTTTCTGTCTTAAGTATGGTAGCACCATATTAACTGGTTTATGACTATTACTCTGTCAGTAATTAATTATTGTAGCCAAATGTATCAAGTAATTGTACGTCCAACCACCCAATGAAGAAGAAAGAAGCTATGAATTTCCTAAAAATATACTTCTCTTAATAACTGACCACACAAAAAGCTGGTCCCATGACCAGTTAGGAAATCAGTGTTGTATGTTCTTTGTGACACCTAAGCAGAAACGACCGTAGACAGCAACTAGTCGGTAATGTCGTTACTCGCAATTATCGTGATAACTGTGCTTTCTTCCAATAGCCGGCGCTTTTTGCACAGTGATTGCGAGTCGTGCCAGACCCAAACGCACACGATGACGCTCGCCTTCTATATATATAATGCACGTGCTACACGCTGGCACCGACCAGCTGGTCAGAATCGGGACGAGCAGGCCAAGTAGTCGAGTCACGCGAGGAATTCAGCTTTGCAACGCAACGAGCGCGCGCGGGGCGCACACATACATATACACAGTCAATGCACCGCGGGGATTAGCAGCGTTCACTTTCACGTGCAATTATCTGCCTTTACGAGCTTGTCTCCCGGGAAGCATTATCGCGCGAGGGAGCGAGAGTCCTCTTGTTCCTCGTCCGTAGGGCGGACAAAGACGAGCAGGCAGACGGTTCTCAGTCGAGATCCGGCTGGTGGGCGAGAAATTTTCCAATTCTACTTTGTTAGTCGTAACAGGTTGTTCTCTCGTGAGATCGAAACGTTTACACGCGATCGTTGCTTTATACCCGTGCAACACGAGCGCCTTGGGAATTTTTGTTTGAAAGAATGCAAGCGCGAGATATATGCCGATATATACATATATACATACATAAAGTAAGTGCTTTTCGAGAATGCGCCATTAATGTTAAACCGAGTGTTTGTAAAGAAATTCTTCAGGACTGTTCTTTCTATACATTTATTTTTTCTATACATTATTTCGTTTTGATTTATGTGTCCTCTTCTTTTATCTCCCCTTTTTAACTATAAAGTTATGCTAGAGGTTGTTAGTTATAAAATCTTGGTGGCGCTCATGGTTGATAAAAAAGAGCTTACCATTAAAAGTTGTGTATATAGATTTCTATTGTGGTAGAAATTTCTTTCTGCTCCATGATAACGCAGAACAACTTAGTAATACAGTCTCCTAAAAACTTCCAATTGGGCTACGAACTTCTTCCTTATCCCTGTTCACTTCTCGACTTCCTCGCACAGATTACCATCTATTTAGAAGTCTCGTCCGGTTTTTCAAAAAAAAAAAAAAAAGAAAAAAAGAATGAAAATAAAGAAGAGAAAAAGAAGAACGTGAAGCCGAACTGATTAACTAAGGGACTATACTCTTTGAATCCAAGATTAAAAAACTTTCTCCCACGCTTACGGAAATGTACAGAAGTGTCCTCTGGCAAACAAAAAACCGTGCAGATGGAAAATATTATATTTCCGAAATTATTATGAAAAAACAAACAGGGAGGAGAAAGAAACGTACGCATATCAACGATAGGACAAGAGTTGGTGAAACTCGAGTGGTAAACAGCTTCCGAACTCCGCGCCTCTACCGTAATACCATAGTGTCGTGTTTCAGATTGAAATTCCCTAGAAACGACAGATTGCCATTTCGCGAAACAAACACGAATCCTGCTAATTGGCAATTTCGCTTTCTCTAACATAAACTTCCGCAACTACGGATATTCATGAAGACGTAACCGTTTTCATTTTCGTTATCATTTCATCTCGACTTATTTCCATCTTCGTCGTTGCTGGCTTCATCTCTCTCTTATTTTATCTACAGTTAACGTTCCTCTCTCTCTCTCTCTCTCTCTCTCTCTCTCTCTCTTTCTGCACGGTTAACGTCCGTTTTTTAACTATGCCATCTCCTTCGTTCTCCGTTGTATTTGCAATGCATACCGGGACTCGTGCTACCCATGGAAGATTATCCCTGGGGCATAATAAAAATTTTTCCTTCCAGATGCTACCAGACAAAATTTCCTTCGTAATGGAAGTCACTCTATTATCTTACCTCGGATAATTAGGTCGAACCGCTCTAGGTATTTTTTCCCCCAGCGTTTTCTCCCCCACTCTTGTCC